TGGGAAAAGGAAATCACTTCAAGTTCGGAATTTTTAAGCAAGCCCGTCAAAAAATCCAAAACTGTGCCATAGAATCCAAAACAGCCACTATCCTAGACTTTTTGACCCCCTCTTTCCAGCTGAGCCAAACTCGCGCTGATCGAGCTGTTACTCTAAAAGTTATGATTTTTTGAAGAAAATGTCAAAATATCAATTTTCTTAAGGAACTGACTTTTTGGCATTTTTCTCGAAAATCATAACCTTTCTAAGAAGGGCTCGATTAGCGCGAGTTTTGCTCACACAGAAAGAGGAGATCAAAAAAGGACAATGGTTGTTTTGGATTTTATGGCACGGTTTTGGATTTTTTAACGGGCCTGCTTAAAAATTAAGAACTCAAAGTGATCTCCTCTTTCCAATTTCATCTCTGCATTGCGAGCATGGTAGATAGCAGCCAAGGAAGTGTTAGGAAGTGCATGAATTGCTTTTTTTCAAAATGGTTTTAGCCATGCAAAAACTTCATGGTAAAAAGAAGTTATGATTTTTTGAAAACGGCGGGACAGAACTTTCGAACCAACCTAATAGATAATTTATCGGCTACTGCATATCCGCAGTAGCATGCCTTTTGAATGGAGATATTATTCGTAGGTTTGATATATCATCGATGAAGTACTAGGAGAAAATTAACGACTTCTTTCGTGCAAGTACTTACTGCATGTTCATCAGCTTTATCGTGAAGCCTTTTGTAATACTCATTTTCATGCAAAAATCTAAAAAAGTCTACAAAATCTAATATGAAACACAAATTCACCAATAAAAAATGTGATACTCCCACCTCTGGAGACAAGCCTCATCATTAATAGGTTTTCAGGATCTATGGAATCGTACGATATTTTCCTCCTCACTGAGTTGATTATTGGACTCATATGAGGGATAATGAAAGGCTTGAAATTATGTCATTTCGAGATAACCTGAAAAACAATTTACGCACTGCAAGTAATTCGTGAGGATGTCCGAATGGTTCAGGTCATCTCGATACTGCAAGACTTTACTTTCTATGTATACTTGCACATAAAATTGGTCATTAAGTAAATAAAGTTTAAAATATATGTTCAAACTCATGATATTCAAGCCAGAACAAATGCCTTGAAATCAACAATAAGAAATGATAAATAAAATAATTGATAAAAAAGATTTTGAAAATTGGCTATGACTATGCAGCTACGATCGGGTTTAAGACCAACAACTAACAGATTAACTGGTCTTAATAATGAATTTAGCAACATGAGTACTTCAGGTATGGAGTAACAGTTACAACAATAACGGCAAGACATTTGACGCGCCTATTACATTCTAAGGGAAATCATTTTCACAAAAATGAGGTTTTCTCGATATGATCACTTATAATCTACGGTCTTCTAATACTTCCAAAATGGCCTTGTTGGCCACAGTAAAGAAAAAAAAACAGAAATGGCACAAAAGAAGAAAATGATCTGATAGCCACCAAATGAAACCATTGCCCAATTATAGACTGAAACAATGACGAATGATGAGCAACATTTCTGCGCGATTGGAATGTGTACAATAGAAAGTGAGGTGGCGCGGATCAGAACGGCGAAGACAAACGAACTGAAGGCGATAAGCGGTGCTCATCGAAGAGATGAGTTCGCCGACGGCGGTTCACCTCTCATAAGCTCGAGAATCAGCGGAACCATAGTCCAGCGACGAAGAGAACAATTTCATAAGATTTGAAAGCAGTCAGCTGTTCGCGTTAATGGTTGAAAGTCGTTGGCTGAGGTGCTAGGACACGACAAATAGCATAGGTTCGATGTAGAAGTACGTGATGGGACTTGGCACAGCACACAGCCGGGGCTGAAACAACACCTGTTCGACCTTTGAGAAGAGGGGGCAACACCCAATGATACGTCAATATCAGTTGAGCTGATCTGATCCCATCACAGCTAGTATTATCCCTGTCTTACTCTTCATTTTGGCTGGCATGTACTGAGTTTGACCATCAAACATGAATGAAGGCCTGAGCCCCGTCCGCTCCCGGGGAACTACTGGCCCCGCCTCCTTGACAAACTCCGCCCACTTAGCTGATTCTCCCTTCATGGGGAATTGTAAAGGGCAACGGAATGGGCGGGATTTGAAAAGTGGGAGGGGTCATCACACGATACTGCGTCCGAATTTTGCAAGAGAATTTTTCAAAATCATTTGCAATATCTAAGGCTCAAATTCAATTATTTATTGTAGCTTAATTTGAATAAAGTATCTGCTATACAGATTTAGGCATGACTTCTCCCAGCTTTTTATTGAAAACAAAAGTGATGTTTGCAACAATTTTTTACTGCTTAGAACGAGCATGCAGGAGTGGTTTAAACAATCCCTACGTTCGCTTTTTTATCAAATTGAAAAAAATTTTTTTAGGTCCTCTGTCTGCAAAGCCAGACTTTTGCTGTAACATTATCGCTCTCTTTCACAACGAAAAATATGACAAAAATGACGGAAAAACTATGTGAAAAGTAAGTCAAGAAAACAGCCTCAAACAGCTGCAACTTGCACATGCGAACAAAAGTTTGCTTCACCACATAATACGAATGATTGCATTTCGCCCCAAATTATAGCACAGCTGTTGTGAGTCTGCCGGATCCATACATAAATTTTTTTATACGTAAACCTTTGTAAAAGTATGAAGAAGCATAAAAAGAACACTTTTTTCTCCTACAGTCAAAGTTTCTCGGAAGAAAGGCCCATGAGTTGCTGAAACTTTCCTGAAGAGACTCTCCTGTATGGAGATGAGCTAGTATACGGTACTCACCATCAGACACCAATAGGTGGGCTGGCTAAAGGTGGATAATACGTACGTTGAAGGCAGCGACAGTCAAGATCTATGCTTCTCCGGTTAGTATGAACCCTAGGACTAGGACATCTGCTTAGTCCCTCCTTTAATGTGGCCTATGAATGGAAGAGATGGACCTGGAACCCAAAGTGCTATCAAGCCAGGCCAGCCCTATCAAGCTCCGGCCATCCAAGTACTGAAAGTTGTCTGTGCCTTCAGGATAAGGGCTCCCAAATCGGGTTCTTTGGCAAAGTCGTGAATGGTTAAAAAAAACTTTTCAAATTCGTGATGGGTCCATACATAATTAGCGTTCTTTTTGAAAAAAAAGAATTGTAGGAAACTCGTGCTGCGTATGGCGTATTATGCGGATCTACTTTCTACCAGCAAGCAACGCATCAAAAAGATTCACCACCAGCCATGCTCTGTTCAATTACTATAGCGGAAATGAAATTACCTATGGGAAATTTCACACTCAAAAGCAGTTGCACCCTTTACAAAGGGTTGCTAATTTACAAGATGGATCGTTACTCACCTTTTGAAGAGAGCAGATTTTTAATTTATTTAATATAGCAGGGAAAAGTGACCAGAATGGGCATTTCAGAGCAACTGTAAGGCCTAACGCATATTATACCCCAACTAAGCAAAGTTTATCCGAAAAAAAACAGCTTCAAAATTACAAACAGCGTGACGAAGATTACGCCAAAAAAAAAGAAAATAACTTCATGCGTTACGGAAGTGATTTGGGACATTATGGTATTGAGTGAGATTTACTTAGCCTAATCACATGGTATGGATTTTCAGTGTTACTGATGAATTATGTGCTCCTTTCAGTGTAGAAGAAATCCCAGGAGGAGATGTTGCATGGCAAAAGAATACAAAAAATAAAGACCAAGAAAACCCAATTTATGAATAGATAATCGCATGAATCAAATTCAGAAAGCTACAAAAAATGTAAGGAAGACTTTTGTTTTTTCTCTAATCTTTCAAGTGATATATGAAAGATTAGAGAAAAGAAAGTCACTTGTTCATTTTAATACAGGCTTTAAAATGAAAACTACAAAAGTTTTGGGAGGTGACATCGCGATTTCCGACACAGCAACAAAAAAGTTGGTAATCGCATTATGAGCCATAAAATGTCTGCTACCAGCTAAAGATCTTACAAACAAGGAAGTGACTTTATTTACTCGACTATTCATTCGGCTTTTTTGGGGAGGAAGCGAAGCAAAGTAGAATTTGGCTGAATTCAAGTAAACTAATTACAAAAAGGAAGTGCCTTACTCCGTGAAGGGCAACTTTCTCTTTTATTCAAAAAGCTATTTTCACAAATTCTACCAGATTACGTCTTGACCGTGACAGTGGCATATATTTTTGGAAGTAAGGGGTAAGGGAAGTGGGGGGGGGGCAAAACGTCTTCTCCAGATTAGGAACTTCGCGTGATCTTCCAAATTTTTTAGCTCCATAGCCGCAAGCGAAGCACAACAGAATTTTTAGCTAAATTTTGTAGAATTATCCCAGTTATTCAGAGCAGAAAGAGCTAATTAACACAATTGCATAAATCATATCGAGCATTTCAATCTCGCGAATTCTGAAAAAAAAGGGGGGGGGAGGCGGAAGCTACTAACTTTCGGAAAGGAGAAGCGGAAGCTATCAGACCTTCCCCTGGCCATAATCAAAAAAATGGAAAATACTACAGATTAAGATCAGCGCAGCTTGGTCATTTGCAGCCTACGAGTCATTAGTTAACAAAACTTCCACTTCTAAAAAATTGTAAATATCAATCTTGGAGGAAAATTTGCATCCTCATTGCTGATTTAGATGACATGAATATGCAGAAGGAGTTGAAGACTTCTAGGAAAGATGCCGTAGCTATCATCTCCATGCTGGGAAAGGGGTGAATGGGCAACCAGCTTGGCAAATAAATATTGAAAATGTAAAAGAAGTACTTGCCAAGCACGAAATCAAGAGTTCTCACCGACAAAACGTGCCGAGAAAATTTTGCGTTATGTGAGCAACGAATTAAAGCATCCGGAACAGCTGGCTGATTGAGCAGTGTATATAGACAAAAAGGAGACGAGGCAAATGCTTCAGGGAAAAGAAGAAAAACAAGAGAAAATTTGAATTCGCTGACAGTCGGTAAATGAAGCTAATGCTCATTAGATGTAAGACTGCTTCAAACACTCACCATCATTTTGATTTTCATCTACTTGAGTTTTCCTGCGCTGTCTAACATCGTCCATAAGCTCTGAAATGATAAAATAGCAACAAATGGAAATTATTTTTTATCTCTCCTATAGAGCAAGAAGGCTCGATAGCACAATAAATCCGACGAAGGATTTGTGGCATCTGTATAGAGCGTACATTTTAGATTTCCGTCGTTTTTCTAAGGTGTGCAAATCATTTTCAAAATGCAAATCATTTTCAAAATTTCGCAGTCCTCGCAGATAGAAAATACCGAACCAAAATCACTCGCACTTTTCGTACGCAGTTTATACTAACCAGCGAAGAAAAACATGTCTAGATTATACTTAATCTGTGATCCAAACTCGATCCGGGCCCAAACGGGATACTCGCCGCCGCTGCTGCATACAAGCACAGGCGGCTCACATAAAGGCAGTTGTATGCATAGTGGACGGGCCACACAGGGCTAGCACCCCGACTGGATCCGGATCCGATCCAGATTATGGGTATCTATCAGTGATGTAACTAAAGTTTCCGTTGGCCTGGAGGGGGGGGGGGGGGGAAGACGACAAAAATTTTTCGAAATGAAGGTGCGTGGTGTTAAACGTGCTCCGAAAATTTTTTGTGGTGCTTCCCAAATTTTTTTGCGGGCTCGTGACCCAGAAATTTTAGAAAAAAGGGTGTGGCGGCAGCCATGCACTCAACAAAAATTTTTTTACAAAATCAATTTAAATTTCAAAAAAAATCTCTAAAATTACAAATCAAAAGTTCAAAGAAGTCATCTGCATATTTTTATAGCTCGTGTAAGTAAATTCCAAAAAATTAGGCAACCCATTCTCGGTGTATTACTTACGAGAGAACGATACTTGGTGTCCGTGGCCTTTTGAGATGAGATGCATACCATTATGCTCGTCTTGGAGCGCTGATTCCGAATGTGACTTCCGTTTTTGCTAATCGTTTCTCGGAAAAAAGTTATGAAGGATTTTCGCGCCAAAGGAGATGTAGTCGAAATGCCAAAACCGCCGCCAAGATGTGGTGTAGTGGCTAGTGCGATAGCCTCGCGAGTTAATGCAGGTTTGGGTTCGAGTCCTTTTTTTAGTTATGCATTGCCTCAATCAAGCTTCTTTTCAAAAATTAGGCATCCTCGGCCGCATTTCTTTTAGGCGACCATTGACGCAAAAATTCCTCATAACTTCTTCTAGAACGATTAGCAGAAACGGAAGTCAGATTCGGAATCAGCATCCCAAGACGAATGTGACGGTATACGTTTCATCTCAAAAGGCCACGGACACCAAGTATCGTTTCCTTGTTAGTCTAGCCAAAAAAATTCGCCAGTGGGTCATGTCAGAGTTATTCGGATCTGGTGGATTATGGACCAGCACGACACCACCCCAAAAAGCACATTTGCGAGTGTAGTTAGCAATGCTTTTAAAGCCTTAAAAGTTTATATTGACAAGCTTTCCTACCAAGATAAAACTTGAGGATTTCAAAAACAAGATTCTACAAAAAACTTTCATCGAATGAAGCTTTGGCATAGCCATGCATGCGTAAGCTCAACAGCTAAAATTTACATGTGCAATTACTTGTTATGTTTTGTGTTTATCTTATGTTATTGCGCGCGTCAATGAAATAAATAAACAAATATCATTCATTCTCTGACCAAGAGACGAGCACGCTTTGGCTACTGATTAACAAGTTTGTGAGTTCGTTTTAACGCGTTTTGGTAAATCACGTTAGGGATTTGTGGAAGAACATGTTCAAACTCGTGTTGTTCAACTTGCTCGAACATGTTTTTTCAAGAACCCAATACTAAACCAGCCGAGACGCGTTAGAACTCACTAATGAACTTGTTAATCAAACGTACGCAAAGCGTGCTCGTGTCTCTTAGTCAGCGAATAAATAATATATCCCGCACTTGGATACGATTATACTGTTCAAGAAAAAGCATTATCGGCTTCACGATTTGTGTAGAGGCGGAGTCGTGGCAGCTCAAAATGTAACGATTTTTGATAGCTAGAGAGTACGACAAACTATAACGTGGAGTTTTAACAAATGTATTTTCATAATCAGGGAAAGTCTGCAACCCGCCTCTATACGAATCTTGGAGCAATCATGCTCGTTATTGTTAAGCTCAAATATCCGTAACGTTTCCGAACTTGAAGACCATGAATTAGCATAAAATTTTGACAAAAAGCTTTATAAAAATGATGCGATGACACGTAGCTTCGGCTATCTGCGCGCTGTTACTTTTCTCGCAAGCGTTGTACAGGATACAGGACAAGCAGAGAGTGATAGACACACACAAGCTGCAGCGTACGCACGATCTGTGAACTGTTTGCAAAACGCTGTTTATAGAATCAGCTGGTGCACTAGGATTCAACTCTCAGCATCAATCCTTCAGCAAAATGAGTCTCGTTTTCGAAAACTGTTCCGAACACAACTTCAAGTGGTCTACTTGAAGATCGAGGAAGTATTATCAAGTTATTGGCTGTAAATGATGTGTGTAATCGCACAAGGGCGCCGTCTACGACGCAAAAATTATCTCCCCGCTAATTCAGAGTTTGGCCAAAAACGCAAAGGTGGGAGCACTGTTTAGTTCTTTGATAAATGCATGCTCATATACAACTTTTGCTAGCTGGAATCTCAACTAAACTCTTTGACCACTCTTTTTTCGCTAATAAAACAAATATTTCTCTCAATTTATTCTCTCAACATTTACAAAAAGCTTGTAAATCGACGACGATCCGGAATGAAAATGATATTCTAGGCAAAAAGAGCACTTGTTAGCTATTTACAAGCTTACAGTATAGAAATGGATAATATGAAAATGAAAGATAGCAACCATTTCATGAAGTGAAATAGGAACTTTCAATCACATTTATCTACATATACAAGCGTAGATTATCACAGGTACACGTGAATAGTCTAAAAAGTCATGTAAGGATATAAGAATATCATTTACAGTATTTACACATCGGTCATCACCGCTACGCGTTCGCGTTTCTTGCTTGCTGGTTCCTTCTCTGAAAAAAAAAACCGTCAGCCACAGTTCCCAGGGATCTTGAAGATTATCTTACCTCTTTGCCTCTCTGGCAAGTCGTGCGTAGGAACATCTGGCAATTTGACATCGCTGATTTGAGCAGCCAGTAACTGCTCCAATTCCTGTTCAGCCTCCTCCACGTCAAGATTGGATAGCTGACCAGACAGAAGAGCGGAGATCTCCTAAAGTTGGAGAGATGAAAGCTACCATATAAATGATCGACCACAAAATCCATAAAATTTGTGAAAGACGTAACAAATTGATAAATTCAAAGTAGGTAGCACCACAGACAAGTTGCGGCCTGTTACATATATGAAGCAAAAAGAACAACAGACCTCCTGGTACTCAGCGGCTTCTCTCGTCTCTTCTTTGAGCTTTTCTATCTCATCGATATCGAAAATCTAGAAAAAAGCAGTGAGTGGTAAAAAACAGACTAAAAAAAAAACTAAAGCTCGGTGTTACCGCATTAATCTTCTTCAATGCATCATTTCCTTGACGAAGTCCCTCAACAACTCTTTGTTGTATATCAGCAAATTCCAGATCATGCACCTAAAGTACGTTTTATTTTCTCCCCAAAACTGCGTTTAACAGCTGCAAACATACCATTCTATCGATATTATCCAGATGTCGCATGGTCTGCTCGATGACATTTTCTTGATATCTTTTCTTCTTCAGCAGTAGCAGAGCACGGCTGAAAAAAGGATGAAGTTTATCGTGTAGAAACTTAGTCCGCTTTTTTAACCCACTCTTTCTTCCCATCCTTGATGAGTTGCCGAGCCAGTTCTCTTTCTCTCTCCATATCCCTTTCTTTTCGTCTAATAAATTGTTTAATCTTGTCCCTTTGCGTTTTGAGTTGCTAAAAATAAAAACTCGTCAAGACCGAGGCTAACTCATTGGATTAGTGTTGTTAAAGGCAGTGGATCGGCAAAATTCAACAACTCAGGATTTCAACGCCGTAGGTTCCTTATCGCCCAAGTATGAAAACAGTGCAATCCCGGGCGCAAATTTGACTAAGTTGAGATTTGCCAAGCCACTGCTCTTAAGGGGTAAAAAAAAAACTAGAGCATACTTTAAATAGCATAAAACCAAGACGACTTGGGTGAAAATGCTAAAAAAGCATGTACATCATATAAACTGACTAGGATTGCCTGGTCCTGCTCAGTGATCACGCAGTTTTTAGGAGGTGGAGGAGTTGATGACTTCTTACTGAACAAGCCACCCATTGTATCTAAAATAAGCACATATCATCTCGGATATGACCACAACAGATCGAATCGGTACAGCAGTGAGCTCTCCTTTTCGGACATTTATTCAAAAAAAAATACATGTACAACTGAAGGCGAGAACAACATTGTCTCTCGCTGCAAAATACGCTGTTCTTGAATTATAACGAGAATGAGTACTAGTCCCTTAGACGCACACCGTTGATGTTACTTGTCTTGAAAAGGTGGACCGTCAACGCCACAAGATTATGTCAAAACCGTGTTCTCTTCTACATCGGGTTGAACGCTCTGCTTCCTCTATACACAACACAAGATACCCGGATGTGATCGCGCCTAGCCTCTGCAAAAAAAGCGACAGCTTCAGTTTCTCCTAATCCCAATTATCACGCCAGCTCTTCTCAGCCACTTGACCAAACTTCTCGATCTCATATACAAACTGCCCCGCTGTCCGCAGTTCGGCGAGCCGGTAAAAATATTATAGCCGCAACTAAGATCGCACTTTGCTTACAGCACGACGAAAAAAACATATTTCGCATATACCCTGCAAAGATCACGGGTCAGCTCCGTGCGGTACTGACCAGCTTTGGCGTCTTCACCCCGCCCCCCCCCCCCCCCATATGCATGAGACAGAGGAAAACATGGACAGAACGTTATCATAATTTCGCAAACAGCAGCCATAAACAAACTATTTAGATTAACATTGGCGATATTTCTCAGCACCTACCAGTGTCACGTTTCTCTGCCTTTCTACCTCTTCCCACTACTTTCAGGTGTACCAGACGCACCTTGATTGCTCCGAATGGAAACACGTGCCACTGAAACCGGGTTGTAAATGTGAGTGGTCTACATGATTAATGAAGTTGCGCCAGTAAGTTGTTCTTACTTACAAGGGAAGCTCCCTTGGTAGAAGTGAAAATTCGGAAGGTGATGGATACCTGGGATAGAGCTCAAAGCGCTGATCTCGATTATATCTTTTATATCTCCGAACCGTTCTCCTATAAGAAGTCATGGGCTCATTTGTGTTCATAACGATAGCGTGGTCTAGAAGGAAAATGACGACCTGTGAATTATAACAAGGTTGTCCAACACTTGGGAACGTTCAGATAATATCAGATTAGACTTACAGCACCTTAGTGATTTGCTTGAGCCTGCATACTTTTGCCTGGAAACTGTCGCGACTTTACCACCGAAAATTTGGAATAAAAAGCTCATAACTATTTTTCAGAAGAACGCATCGCAGATATAAAAGGTATATCTGACATCAGCGTTCAGAGCCCTATCCTGGGTATATATCACCTTCCAAATCGCCACCCTGACCAAGAGGACATTCCTTGTTAGGGGTGATTGAACGTCCAACTCTGACGAAGCGTTCAAATTTGAGAACTTAACAGCTCAGTAGAATTATTTAAAATGTGTGCCTACAGTCCCGCCCTCTTTTACTTTACTTTGAAAAACCTCTGCCAATCCCCTCGCCTCCTAGACAAGTTTCTGCATTACCATTACTATCCAGCTTGATAATTCCAATTGTTCTGAATCCCAATATGGCTGTTACAACGAAGAAGACGCTTTCGATTTATTTTCCATTATATGCAGTAACTCGAATCTCACGATTGAATACAAGACAACAGTCAACCTTCCGAGCTTTTATCCCTTCACAGAATGATTCAAAACACAATATTCTAATCTCAGAGCCAAAAGTGAACAACATAACTTGTGATGCAAACGTCCTCCCTAAATTACGGAGGGCTAGGCGTGAGGCAACAAGATATAACGCCTCTACACATACTGTCTAACAACAATCAACAGCGACGAGTCGATGATAACAATTACTTTTAGAACAAGACAATAATTATAACATAGATAGCTATTATTTTACATGGTAGATGAACGGGAAGAAATTGAATAAGCAGCAAGTCTGTCAGATCCATGAGAATCAAACAGAGATGCACAATTTCACCCGTCTTATCAGCCTAGAACAAGGACAAACAATTGGTGGAGAAAGAAAAACAAGTTCACGATGATGATCTAGAGATGAAGCATAAAGTTGTGGTCACAATGTGAACAACATAATGCGATGATACGTATCATAGCTATGCTTTGAACAACAAGTGCTCATAGCGAGTAAATCGGAACATCAGTTAACATTTTGATAAGATCAAAGTGATAGTAACCAGCTACCAAGGATCTCTCAATGCTCAACACAAGTAAAATGCTGCTACAGAAGATAGCTAAAGAGCTAACATTAAAGCTGACGCATGGACTGTTACTCAAGTCAGCACTAGAAAAAACAAGAGTAAACGCAATTCTAATAAGAAAAGCGCTGAGATGTTGAGTCATTGCAGATTTTCTATCAATAATTTTTACATAAAAGAAGGGTGAAAAAATATACAACAAAATGAGAATACTACCTGCTTCTGTAGCGCAGTGAGAGCATTGTGGAGGAATGGACGGATGTAAGTAGCAGGCTATCACCGCATTTGAAGTAAAAGACTCGTGTTCTATATATACAAATTACGGAGCATCAACGGCCACAATGACAAATGATAGCGCGATGACATTCAATAGAGAAATGTAGAGAGCAGAATGACTGAGGGCTTCTACCGGGATGACGAACGGATATCAACTAGAATGGAACGAGGGAATACCCGCACGATAACGACACAAGACAGTATCATCGACACCCGTATCAGTGTACACACCGCGCATAGCATGGATTGAGGCATGAAGTGTGCACGTCACACCACGAGATCGGTGAGATACAGCGCGCAGAAACGGCAAAGAAGAAGACACAATCAAACGTCGACCGATAACACACCCAAACCATCCTGAGTAGAAGAATTACAGAATATAAACAAGTAAGAATAGCTACACAAAACAACGAGTCGTGGTAATGGAAGGAAAAGTGGAAGAAAATGCCTAGAACATAACACATCGCGCACATTGTATGGTATAGACAGATCGCCGATATTTTCTCTTTTTGACGCTCACAAGTACACAAATTGGAATATTACTCACTTAAAGCTCTGAACAAAAACACACGATAAGAACATGAAGGAAATGAAGATGATTAATACGCGAAACACAGTCTCGATTGTCGACGACCAATTACATATAAATAGTTCTCGCAGGTGTTTCACCCTCATGATAACATCACTTAATAAAGACACAAAAATGAAAAAAGAAAACACGAAAAGAGGTACACAATTATAATTATATAAAGGGACAATAGCATCGGAGTGCTGCAGAACCTAAATCGATAACAGTGTAGTACTCCAAAATGAAATCTTTGATACTCAAACTCACTTAGTTCTGCCAATTACCAAATCCTCGACCGTTCGCATAAGGGGATTGCTGCTGGAACGAGGGGGCCCCTGGCGGAGGGGGGCCTGGAGGGACGAATCCATTTGCAGGCTGAAAGCCTCCTCGAGCCATCATTGCGCTAAAGCCAGGCTGACCGAATCCTACAGGAGGAACACCGTTGAATGGAGCACCAGCTCCTGCAAAATGTACTTTGTTCAAACTCTTTGGACTTAACACAAGCGAGAATCGACCAACCACGTGGGAATGAGGGAGGGAAACGACTTTGCGGTGAAAATCCGTTCTGTTGTGGAGCGAAACCTCGTGGGGGTTGAGCAAAACCGTTCATCGCATTGACTGTGAAATTTGGTCCAAAGCCATTCTGCATAGTTGGTGGCACAACAGGTGGACCGCTGTATGATAGAATTTATGAAAAAAAGCAACAGAAAGCACATCACTACCGTACCTGAAGCCTCCACGAGTACCACCAGCACCTCCGCCACGCCGTTGATCTGAACCACCAAAACGACGATTAACCGAGCGATTGTTGCCTTGTGATCTTCCTTCAGCAGCCATTCGCAAGAGAAAATCAGGGACTTCCTTGTTCGCTTCACTCAACAACTGCGACAAGTCCCGTGCAAGAGCTCGATTCTGAAAAAAATTGCTTTTCCTTTCATCTGATAGTCTTACTAGCTACCTTCTCTGTGAAAAAGCTGGTGGCTCGCCCAGTATTTCCACAACGACCCGTTCTTCCGATGCGGTGCACATATTCGTCAATATCACCCGGGAGATCATAGTTTACGACATGTCGGACATTTGGAATGTCTAGGCCTCGTGCTGCCACCTAATACATGGATATTACCAGAAAGTACAAAGAGCAAAGATTTGTTGAGAAGTGCTACTCACCGCAGTAGCGACTAGAACAGGGTTTGTGCCATTTCTGAAGAGCTCAAGATTGCGTTCGCGTTCGAACTGCTTCAAGTCTCCATGGATTGCCACGGCGCTAAAATACAAGTGATAAGCACATTTTGACTTGATGGTCAGATGGTCGATCTTAAAATACACTATGTAATGTATGTGGTCCTCTCTTACTAGACAGAAACTAGTGCGAAAAGTCACTTCCGTCATTCAGGTGCAAAAAGTCACTTCCATCAGCCACAAAGAAGATATAGCTGTCAGTCAAAGTCTTGCACTCACTTGATCTGCTGCCGTTGAAGAGCATAAGCTAGCTCATTGGCTCCACGCTTGGTTTCAACGAATACAAGCACCAGTGACTCATTTTCTGAAAAATAAAACTTGTAGGTGATAAAAACACCTAAAGACAGAAAAACCAAAATAGCAACTAACGAGATGACTAAGTGCTGAAAGATAAGAACAATTGATACAATAAAAAATGGTAATAACCTATACCCTCTCTAGATAAGATATTCAATAGCATCTTGCGTTTGTCGAACTCCTCTACTAATAGAACTTGTTGGTCGATATTTTCTGAGGTAGATCCTACACGTCCAACAGCTAGGAATACGTAGTTTGGCTTCAGAAAGTCCTGCGCGAGTGTCTGAAAACAAAGCTAATTTTGAGCAATTCTCTTTGAACTCCACTCACCTGAATTTGCTTAGGGAAAGTAGCACTGAACATGGCGGTAGTACGCTCTGACTTAGGCGGCATGCCTTGACTAACAATTTTGCGTATCTGAGGTTCAAAACCCATATCTAGCATACGATCTGCTTCGTCTAGCACTAAATAACGGCACCCAGCTAAGCCAATGTATCCCTACAAAAACCATTCCTTGGAATGTGAGAGAAATGAAGTATGACAGAACTTGTGCAACAGTTTCTTCATACCTGGTCTAGAATATCAATGAGGCGACCAGGCGTAGCAATGAGGATGTGACATCCTCCACGCAGGCGATTGATTTGCTCGCGATAGTTCTCACGACCGCCATATAGTATTGCGGTGATGATGTTCGTACGATAACTGAATTTTGCAGCTTCCTGTAAGAAAAAAATGGGGTATGATAAAACTGGGTGTATGTCAAGAGGCGCGATTTTTATTGCCAGCTGGACTCCAAATAGCACATAATAAGTGTTTTACAACTTTCTAAGAGTATATGAAATTTAGAAGAAGATATATTAGATACTTGCAAGGGCTGCTTAATCTCATTAATTTGAAAAAAACTCAAAACGGCGATTTTGAAGGCCAAAAACCCATGAAAACTCATTTGAGAACAAATTCATAAATATTTCAGTCCGTTTCATAGCAAAAACCATGAAACTCGGCAAGTGGTGACCTCAGAGAGACAGTAAGCTAATGCACTTTATCCGGTATTTTTTGAAGACTCGCATGGCACTAAATTGGAGATTTGAGTTGATGACAGCCGAAGAAATCGCGCCTCTTGACCGTCTCCCAATAAAACTGGCACTCTTTCGTAGACATACCTTGTGTATCTGTATGGCCAATTCTCTAGTAGGAGCAAGAACAAGGGCAGCAGGATAAAAAGTTCGTCGACCCGTGTTTGACATTGAAGACTGGAACAAAAACATTCTGAATTTTTTTTGATTCGCATGTAAGCTCATTAGCTCTTGTTCGAAGAATCCATGATAACTTTCTTTTCCTAATTTATTTTTACCACAAAAACTGCAGTACTGAAAACCAATGCGGTTGGTTGTGGTCGAACTTCAAGCCACCTAATACTGCATCAGTGAGCCAAATTTCATGGATTGTTATTAAAATTACAAGGGGACGCACGTCCCCGGATTTCGTTGTGCTAGGTACTTTCGTATTGTATTTCGACAAAGTTTACTTTATCTAAATTTAGAAACATTTGCAAAAGCCCGTTGTAGTTCTACTGCATAGGATATTTCGAGGACTTACTGCAAGTGCAGCTGGCAAACTTACAGGCCGAATCGCATCAGGACCGTCTACAAGAATGTGATGAATGATTGGGAGAAGGAATGCGGCGGTCTTTCCAGACCCAGTCTGAGCGCATGACATGAGGTCACGGTTACCAAGAAGTGTAGGGATGGAATATTTCTGCAAAGGAAAGATTTAGCAGTATATCCTGTCGACAGATAACATTGTTGATTTGTAGATGGAGCATACCTGGACAGGTGTTGGCTTCTTATAACCACTTTTGTCCACATTCTGCTGAACCCATTCATGCATTTTCGCATCGGCAAACTGAAAAATGAAGTTTTCGCCGATTGCTGCGTAGTCTATTAGAAGATAAATTCAAACACCAGATACTTTTCAATTTGGGAGTTTTTCAATGGCTCCTTCTCCGGAAATCCGAACCAAACCACTTACCGCAGGGATGGGATCAGGTGTATTTTCGCCGCTGACTTCAACTGGGATGCTCTCATAATTGTCAAAATTGATTCCACTATTCATGTTACTGAACAGTTGCCTAGAAACCAAGTTTCTAAAATATGAGCTTCACATATTCTGCGCATGCAAACATAATATCGAAAACAAAACTTACTTTTCCACAGAATCTGTTCCAGCTGATTGGCAGTTCCAATTCCCCGCAAAATCACCGCTGCAATGAGTCCAATCAAAACCAGCGGGTCAAACTTTCAAATATTTGCTTACCAGTTTTTCTCTTTGGGATCAAACGTTCCACCAAAACCTTTCGTCACATATCCGGCCGTGACTCCGTTGGTGAAGTCCGAGTTCACGCCATTTACCGCACAAGCAGACTGCTGTTGAACATACCCATTTTGAGAATACATGTTGTGCTGCTGCGGATGATATCCATTTTGATAGCTTAAATATCAATGTTAAGAAAAAATCATGTATAAACTGTAACATCTATCCTAGGCCATTCTTTCATCGCCTTTCTGACAAAGAAGCAAATTTCCAGAAGTTGAAAAACCCATGACAAAGAAAACCTGCGAACATATTTGTCAACAAACCCTGAAGTCAAAGTCTCTCTAGAGATTGGTTAAAGTTGTTTTTCTACATGTTACGTTGTATACGAGTTGATTTGAGATTGATTTTCAAGCTCATGAATGGGAATACAGCGTGATAAAACATCTCGGGTGAAAATTATCACTCTCCCGATGGCTGATGGGTGTTGTTTTACAATCGTTCATAATCAAACGCCCGTTCGTTTGTACCTATGATAGCAGATCAGACATCAGGAAACTGATAGATACCGCCCTTAATTTAGTTTTTGTCCTAAAGGTTTGCTGATAATTATAGTCACTGTAAAGTTGTAGTCACAGTAGGTAATAACAAGATCAGATTTATATTCCACGATCCACGATTGCAAAAGATCCGAAAATATAATTCTACGATATCTAAACAATTGGTGCGAATTTTTTGAGGTGAGAATTACTTGCGAAAAATCTCATTTGAGGCGCTATTACTCTGCTCTTACCTAGGAATTGGTCCACCGTTGGAGGTAGTGAATTGCATCGTTTGCCCATATCCTGGTGGTGGCATAGTGTACCCATTCACTTGTTGGCTCCCATAATCGTAGCCGTTAGTGGCGGTCGCGCCTCCGCCACTATTTCCATAACCAGTGAATCCCCCTCGTCCACCGATTGGAGAGACGTCCGCCCATTGTCTGAAATTCGAAGATCAAAATTAATGGCGATTCCCAGAAATTATGCGACTTCTGAGCAAATCGGACCTAAGCGAACTTGAAATCACGCCCAGAAATCCCACTTAACAGGATAATTATGCAAATCGTAAGTAATCCGATTAGTTCCAAACTACTGTCTAACATGCTGCTCAAAAACGCTGTGAAGAAAAGAAGGAAAAGAAACTTTGTGAAAGCAATTTACAACATGGAATGAAAGTCACTGCACGAATGTCCTACCATGGTGTAATCAACTTGTCATTTTATGATGCAAAATGCAGCGAAAAAAGTGCCGCGGTCATCGATAATTATGAGGCGGTCAATGGACTATAAAAGTGATTGGTAAATGACAAGGTTATATCAAAATTGAGATGATTCTCGGCAAAAAAGCAAAGTGGAGAAAAACCTTTTTGTAGGTGTCCAAAATATGCATGGAATGCAGGGGTAAGCACCTTTACTTCAAAAGTTCGTTCAGAAGCTCAAAGTTCAAATAAAACCATTTTCTCATGTTAGATCGCTCTGAATGTTCGAAAAGGCGCAAGGAATACAATCGCTTCCTGATTGTTGTTGAGAAGAAGAAAATTCCCCTGACGTTCTCGAAAATTCAGTATCTTCTTTCTTTCCCTGATCATGACACCTTCTATGCGTTCCTCATCTCTGCGCTCTTGCCCGCTCGTCATAATTAAAGGCGGATCTGATCGATAATGACAGCTCGCCAAACTATCATTCATATATGCTTCTGTAAAAACCTGTGAGATGTGTGATGAACAATCATCTGGAGAGTTTTCTGACAATATCAATGGGTTATCGATTTCCGAGTCCGCTCAGGTCCTTTGTAACTTGTTCAGAAAATGCCTCATAACTTCTCTTCTAAAGTAAGAAAACGGACTCACCCCGTAGTTGGCGAATTGTAGTACGCTTGCTGGGCTGTGGTCGAGTTCATCGCAAAAAATTTTCAAGAATCCAATCCAGAGAAAACGAAAAAGAACAACCACACACGGATGCAAACCACGACCAACAAGCACCAGGGCGCGATGCAAATAAAATGGATTCGCGTGCAACCGCGCCGCTACGCGGCTTATCACACTACGACACACCAGCAAACATTTATATTGTTGTGTTTGCGTCTCCGAGGTCAGTGTGCTATCTCGTTTTGACAGGTATTAGGTCAGTCATATTGCGTGTAAACATGTCAGAACAAGTGTGATTCGGTAAATTTTGAACTGTCAGTTCTTCGAGAAGAGAAAAAAGGGAAAAAAGATTTTTCAAAGATGAGATAGAAATAAGTAAATTGATTGAATCAGTACATGTGAGAGGAATGAAAATCTAGAGAGTACTTTTTGGAATAGTAGACATCCAATTGAAATATTGTGAGCACTCTTCCCACCGGAGTAGGAAGAGAGGGGGAGGGGAGGGTCGAGGGAGAAGATATAAAGACATTTTATGTCCCGACCTCATTATTTCAAACCTCAAATCTCGTTTAGTTCTCGCATAGAGAGTTATTTGTTGTTGATTCACCAGTTGCTGATCATAAGTGCTACTCTGCACGGCAGCTTTTATATGTAGTTACTGTAGGCATACGGTAAAGGACTATAGTCGATAGCCTGCTCCAACTCGTCATGAGAAATATTCGCGTTCCGATACAGCTTTTGCTTCGCAAGGTTTGAAGAAATTTCGGTAGTACGAGGTAGTTGTCAATAAATATTATCCAAAGAAACAGTTTTCCCAGCAAAATTCACAGATTTTCCAGATTATTCAGCATGCAAGACCGCCCTACTGTGACATCAAAGCAGCTACCGTAATCTACCGTTAACTCAAAAAGGACCAGTTAGAATGAGTGATTACACAATCAGCACGTTTATAATCCCTCTCCCTCCACGCAAAAAGTTAGAGAGTTGCATCATGAGGTCTCTGCCAAGGGAAGGATACTTGGTCGAAGTGGTGTTTCCTTACGAAATGTTTAATATCTTATGAAGCATGAACTTTGATTCCATACTGCTTTCCGTTTCTGGGAGAGGAGTTATGGAGATTTTTTGTGGTAAAAATTCAAAGGTCTGGCTCGAGTAAAAACAGGTGTAGAGGTCTTTTCGCGCTTGAAAGGAGTAATCCTGAAAGTACCAATTGCATGAAACGCCCTGACATTAATCATGGCCCCATTTGAGCTCACAGGTTACTTTTCTGAATGACTTTATTGTAGACGTGCATTCAAAATTTTGCTTCAAAAAACTCCCATAATTTCGCTCCGAGAAGCGCTTTGCAGATATGGAAAGCAGATATGGAATCAGTGTTCCATGTTTCATAAGAATGTATACATTTCATATGGGAACGCCACTTCGACCAAGTATCTTTTCTTTGCGAGTCCGGGTACGAGCACTCAATAGCAGGAAAAGTTTTCAGGTATTGTTATTTTCTTGGGGATAATCCTCCCGGAAAGTTTCCACAAACATGAAGCACACTTCGGAATAATCTGAGCAAGCTCCAAGCGCTCCGCAGCACAAATACTACTAAAAGAAAATCACCTATATTCATTTAACACTGCAACCTTGTTTATACTTCACCTTCAGAGGAAGTTCGGCAAGCACCTTCCCGCATGCATGCAACATTTTTTTATCTATGTAACAAACAAAGCATAATTTTCATAGCACAAAGTTCCTCGAATGCAGGAGTAGATTTTTCCTATAACAAAAAGAAGACGAAATAGAAATGAGTTCACATTCACAGTTCACAATTCATAGTTTACGATAGCTTGTTGTGGAGGACAACACTGACAATCCACTGTCTTTAAGACGAAAAAAAAACCCAATATTTTATGATTCTCTCGTTTTTAGCAAGATTAAAAGTGAGTACTTCCCATTCATGCTTGTCGTGCTTCACAAACAGCCATTGTCCGAATTGTGGGTCTAAATGTTCAACAAATGTTCCTCTTTTAGGAAAAAATCTCCAACAAAATTTCATAATAATTATTTTCCTCAATACGAATATGATGAAATGAAATTCAATGAAATTTGATAACAGACTTAACTATATCACTTTCTCATGCAAAGATTACGGGTCTGCTTGTATAAAAAATGTGTCAAGACAGATGGTTGCAATTAAATCCATTTACAAATCACTTGCTAAATCTGTTTTCAACAGTATTTTCAGAGAAATATATCCACGACATATCGAAGCTGACGAAAAGCTCCTTTATAGTCCGAAGAAACTTTTTAGACTGTCAAATTCTTCGCATCTGTGCCTACATTTTCACAATTAACCAGTGGCGTACCCAGGATTTCGGTTCGGCAAGGGGAGGAGGCAGGGAAATTTTTTGATTTTTTGCTTACCATCAATTTAATCTTTAAAAAAGGGGGCTCGACAATAGCCATCCCCAAAAAACCTTTTCTTACAGATCTAATCTGAATTTTTAAAACTTTCAAATTAATCTTCTTATTTGCAAGTATAAACTAGGCATTTGCACATTTTTATAACTCATGTAAGTATTATAGCATCCAGAATTTTCGCCACCATTCTCGGAGAAGAGGCCTTTTAGTAAGTTACATTCATGAATTTTGAGCTTGACATCTGACTTCTGTGAGAATTGCGTATTTTTACATCACGGATGGTCTCAACGAAAATTCAATAATTTGCAGACTCCAGCATCAAAGCTCATTTTCGTATTGGACTAAATCACATTTTGAGACAGTTGATTACAAATGGCACATCTCACATACGTCAATCTTGTCTGCATACAAAAAGGTGGCTTCGCTAGCTTGCTAGAATCTCGATGGCTATAGAGAAACCAAAAGCTAAAATTTCAGTTTGAGATTTCAAAATTTTTTTTCAAAGTTCTCCACAATCTTGGAGATATCTCGATGGGACCTGCTCTCAAGTACACAAAAACGAATTTTTTCACGTTTTTGACAGTTTACAAATCTTGAGATAAATGTTCTTATGGACCACAGCTTTGTATACAAGGATGAGTATTTTTTTCTTTTGAGTAACCTTTCAATTTTCAAAGCCTAGTGGCTGAATCAGTGAATTGCTTGACAGAGCCATAATGCCCGCGGCGAAAAAAAAAACGATAATGAAACTGAAGAACAAATGGTTTGGATTTGATATACTATCGATCGAGTTGATTTTAACGATGACAGGATGAAATCTTTTATATTAGGACTTTTGTCCTAGATTGATTAGGCTTACAAGAAAAGAAGTTTTGCTAAGCTGGTCCATACTCAGTATGATACAGGAGAAAGTTTATGCTATTAGTCTCTTTGAACAATTTTCTTTGACAAAGGGGCCCCGATTACAACTGCTGATTTTCTTATACCATAAGCTGAGTGACCACATTTTAAATATCTTTGTACCGCTTCGAGTAAGGAGACCTACCCTACGTTGTCACCAACATAAGATCAGAAAATTGTTTTTTTGATTTTCAAAAATTTGGCTTGTTTTCAGCGATGTTCTTTATTGAACTTATGGAATTGAACTTTTTTATTGTTCCCAAAAGCCATTTTTCGCTTAAAGAATCTCTATCATTGAAAGCCGAACAGCTGGAATAGTTGCTCATTATTAACTTCAATAAAATCACGTCCGTGCTTTTTCGAGAAATTGAGCCATCTATTCGTAACTTTTAAAGCACTTCTAAACCCACAATAATAATTAGGGAATATTGTGAGCAGTTTTATTCAGAAACTGAGCAAATCATATTCCGCACGGTTAACAACTTGGTGTTGCTTCGTGGTCAGACACTTAGAAAGGGCACAGAGAAAGAAGATAGTATGGCGAAAACTGAGGGCGGAGCTGGCGTCAGGGGCGGTCCAGGCATAGCGTACAGAACATTTCTTCAGCTTATGCAAAAAGTAATTCAAAAAATTGGAGTTGCATGCAAAAGAGCTATTCGAGTTGGCGCTTAGCAGGATTCCCGCCAAAACGCACCGCGACCGCACAAGATCTCAAATTTTTCCAGCCTTTTCTGTGTTACCACGAATGTTTGTGTTTGGTAAGATGCGATGCAATATCTGTAGTATTTGAAAGTCTGATAAAGTTCTAAAATTTACACGATTTTCAAAATGTTATTGGTCGTAATATTTTGGTAATCGCGTTATAGGCTGCTGCATGACGAAGGCGCAATACATAACTCTGGGCGCGAAGGCGGCTTTGTTGACCGCAGAGCGCGTGAGGCACAGCATATCTATGATGATGATACGCGCGCGCCGCGTTCGCAGCCGCTCAACTAATACCGCTTCTGCGCTTGTCATGCAGTAGTCTTTATTAGGAGTGATATTCCACCTAAAAAAGTGAACTATTATAAAATTTTCAGACATTTCGGGATTGTTATCTCGAAATTCCAGGATTCCAGCTTCCAATTTCCATCACATTCAGATATACTCTAACACATTTGCGCCGGTACAAAACTCCTAGCACCTGACATAATTTCGTAGAAAAAATGGGTGTGAGTGTGTAATTCTGCGTGTCCGCATGTGTATGTGGTGTGTATTCGTGTTCGATCATAACATTGTGATTGATTTATGAATACGGCCGCGCTGCGCTTCTTGCTTCTCTCTCACGTCGACGAAGCTCCCTCGCCGTGGCGCCGCCGCCGCTCCATCAATCCATCCATCCATCCATCTCGGCCCGCAGCTGGGTGTGTGTATCCACCTTGAAAATGCATTAATATTCCCTACGACTCCAAGTAAACCACGTATTTGCCCCGGCGAGTTGCCCCTTGCCTAGTCAACGAGAAGATTTACGAATGTATAGATTCAGGACGATAGGTTCCTATATGGGTCGAGATCTAAATAGTATTGTTGAAACGGAAATTCTTCTCAGAAGAAAATTTCACTTGAGCAAACAATTACAGTTAAAGAATTTTCTCCGCAAATACATTTACAATTTTCTTTCAAATTGACTAAATAAATTAGATGACCGCAGCTCAAAACTTCCGATAATCAATTAATCAACTAAGCGCCATGATATCTAAATTGCTGGCTCAAAGCCCTTATATCAAAAAAATTCCAAAGTTATGAAGTTCGAAATTAATAAATCTTCCTGTTTCAATACGTCTAGAAATATTGAGCACAACTTGTCAAGACTTCAATTCGCAAATTGCCGTAGTAAAAAAGCATCATATTTGAACAGGCAAGAATCGATCCGAAACTTTCATTATTTGAATCTACGTAAGTAATTAAATATTTTTCAAAGATAGTTTCCAATAATTTTTGCAAGTCTTCCAAAATTATCAAATTTTTGCAGTAAAGCGATTATGGCTGTGGTCGTAAGAAAGATAGTGCTGGCATCTAGTGAAAAAAGCTTGAATAAAAAAAGAAAGAAAAAATAAGGCCTTTGGCGGCAATGGGGTGATAAAATGTGAACAAAGAGGGTATGAAATCCACTCCGCTTCGACTTTAAAAATAAGATTGTGCAAGGGTTCCGCGGGAAAGAAAGGAAAGACAAGAAATAATGCATGACTCATTGAGTTTTAATAATGAATTAGCAGTAAATATATAAATGAATAAATAAATAAATAAATAAATAAATAAATAAATGATAGACCTCAATTTAGCCTATCATCAACTCAAAACACGTTTTTTTTCACACTTACTGAAGAAGTTAATACTGACATTTCTTAGTAAACAATCACTAGATAAAATATTAGATCCCTTTTAGATTAATCCGTCAAGAAAAAAACCTTGAGCCAGATAAATTCCAGGTCAGGGAAATGCGAATACTACACGAAATGGGCTAATAGAAAGATGAAATATTCTCGCACACACTGAAACTTTAAAAAATCAGCATTTATATTACGAATTATGGCTCCAACATCTTTCTCTAGAAGCTTCGAAACCTCAAGATGATGACCCTTCAGCAGCAAAAGGACAACTGGCAAAAAACCACGCAGTGGAACATGTATTGTCGTTTTTTCCACAGTTATATATTGCTGTAGAAAATGTTGACTTATTGACACGTCATCCATCAATTTATTCCAGCTTTCACCACTCACACAACTTCTCTCATATACATCTCAGCAGCAGAAAATACGGACATAGAAATAAAAATGTGAAAACTGGAAAGGATATTTGTATTCTAATGCGTATTGGTTTTCTATGAGCTCTTAAGTGGTAAATTTTGTATTTTTGAATTTAAAGAACATTCTTACTCCCACAAGAATACTTACAACCCTGTAAAAATTGATAGCCTGTATTAAGTTATAATGATTTCAAGAATCTTTTTGACTGGTATCGACTTTCATTTCCAACAAAATTTTATATGCGCCTATTAGGACATATTCAGTTCTTTTTTTTTGCTGATATAAATACAACTTCTAAAAAGAATATCCTACCCTACAGTAATTTTGACCACGTAAAGAACCAGGATTCCATGTAACGGCTATAGAATCGAATGACGGCCATGATTTGCTGTAATGTAAATAAAATTCCCCGCACACACACACAATCGAAGATGTTCGGATGACAGTGGTTTTGCAAGCGAAATACCCTGACGGATTCTTCCTGAATTATTTCGTCCTTGTTTTCCTACGGATTCTTCCTGAATTATTTCGTCCTTGTTTTCCTATCTTTTACTTTCGATCCATGCATTAATTTCCAAAATTTTTTAACCAGGTGATATCATTGAGAAGCTAAAGCAGGAAAACGTTTTGGTGTTAGAAAATAAAATCTTGTATGTGTCAACGCCTTAAGGAAATGTCGCTTTGAATAGAAATGTCTTCTTTGGTTTCGTTACATATCAATTTGTATATCAATTTATTTATTTATGTTCTGCTTTTGACCCCCTACGACAGCACTTTTCAAAATTTGATTCAAAAAACTAGGTGATTAAAAGCAAAAAAGTTGTGAATATTTGAGAATTGTCTGAATAATTTCTCTCAATTTTGTAATTTTAATTCTGTATACATGTTTTTTCGTGAGCTTGTCCCTACAAAATTCTTTTCTTACTTTCAATGTTGCTGTTCATAAAAAAAAGCAGAAACGGTTGGCTTAATAAGTGAATAAATAATTCAAAATTATGTTTTGACCACAAAATACTCAGTTGGCACAGTTCCGTACAAACTTCACCATTCACTTCGACGCATTTAGGAATTTCAGCCTTATTCTTCTAATTTTTTTTCACCAAACTAAACATATTTCATTTTTCTTCAGCGAGATCCGATGAGCACTAGTTTGGAGAATTTATGGGTCTTTGTCTAGATACAGCCATTGAATATGAATGAGTCACAAGTTTGAATTTGTTTAACAAATTCCCTTTTCTCAAAATTTCTTGAACTGAAGATAAGGCTCCTAATTCAGCTTAGAATTGGAATTTTTATTTCAGAATGTTGCAAATATAACGCAGAAGCAAAATTTACATCTTTCTATTTAGCGTATTCGACAAAAAAATCATTTCCAAAAAATAGTTCAAAATCCGTAACTTGATTGTTTATCTTCTAAAAAAGAATGTGAATATAAAAAGAGGTGCAGGAGAAAGTTCGCGAAATCATAAACCTTTTTTTCTACAATAACGCATTGCTTCTGACATAATGTCATCAGTGTAAAAGCCCATAAAACCTTCTATTCGGCTCTCATATACGATAGACGCGCCGCAACCACAACGTGGCCTGCCATCGCACTGCGCAACGCATGCGACACGCGTGCACTTTCGCGTAGAAGTGTGACTCCGTACGTGTCGCAACGGCTGCACGCAGATGTTGCAGCCGATGCGACAGCGCGTTGCGTCGTCGCGTCGCGCCGCGCGCGGAGCGGCCGCGAATGGGCTGCGGCGGCGGCGCGTCTCGTCATGTCTCTTCGCTTGTATCTGCTGCCGCATGTGATCATAACATGGAGTGATTGATGGATGAGATGGGCGGAGTCGGACGCGGGCCGCCGGGGCCACAAAACGACGTCGACGACGACGTCTCACCCAACTCACACACTCTCATCGCACATCCTCAATCTTAGTCTTAAATTTCCTCATGAGTCCTTTAAAAAATTCTAAAATCCACTTCCAAAAGTCTGAAACCGGAAGTTCTCTCAATATCCAACAAAAAACTCCCATTCTTCCAGAAATGCGCCGGAAACAAGCTCGCCCAACCAAGCGACCTCAAGAGGACTACGATTTTGATGGTCTCGAACCCGCCAAGGTCACGAAAACTGAGCCCACCCCCGCACAAGATGAGAAACCCCCTCTCAACTCGACAGATGATCGTCTACACACAATAGAAATGATCCCGTCATGCTCAAAGGACCCCACACCTGGAGAATTGCCAAAAAAGACTACGGCCAACCCACTTCTGCTGCTGGAACGGTCATTGAAACGGTTCGAACCGCAAAAACCAGGTGGGCGGTAGTCAGGCGTTTTGATGCGGCTTCTCAGAAATTCATAGAAAAACGGGTTGATCTTAGTCATAGGTGCTAGTTGGCGGCAAGTGAAAGATTCAGTCTAATAACGAAATTCAGAAGTTTTTGGAATTAATTTTTTGGAATTGGCTTATATCTTTTATTTAGCAACAAAATATTCATTGAATATTCAAAGGAAAATCGCTTGTTAAATACGAATTTTCAGATCCAAATTCAGCAAAATTTGAATACGTAACCTTCAAAACTAAGTATGATATGACTTCATAAAATGCCATAGGATTTGACCATTCAATCATACACTGTATGAAGTTTGGAGCTATGACGAAGCATTGGAACCGGAAGTTTCAAATTCTTTTTTTGCAGCATAATTGGATTTGAGGAGGAAATTCTTGTACATTTTTTCGCTTTTCCTGATGAAAATTTCTTCTACATTTCCATAGGGCTCGCGGTTACGAAGACGTAATAATTATATTAACTAGCGAATATAATGCTCAAAATTGGAAAAAATTATAATAATCTGAAGTGGTTTAAGTTTGAAATTGTGAAAATAAACATAAATAAAACAGATACAAAAACAGATATCAAAAATTTACGGTTACACCTAGCTCACTTAAGAAGTTTGGGTTAAAAGCCTAAGTTTCTTTTCTTAAGCGCCCAAATCGGAACGTGAAACAAGTAATATGGTTCTGTATTTCCTCTTAGGTTTTTCTAGGATCGATGAATGAATAATAAGACTTTTCTTTTTTAGTTTATTTAAAATTTCAATTTTCCTATCCATGGAGAATAAAACGGGAATTTTTATCAGAAATTCTGATAACAGTATTTCCTGCTTCTCAATTTGGAAAGAAGAGTGTCGTCCTTCCGAGCGTATTTAGGGCCATCACGCTTCCCAGCTTCTTCCCCTCGTCTTCAGCTCCACTTTTCAAGCACCCTGCAGCTCCCACAAAGTTCATGTATGAATCGTACATTTGTGTGTGTGTCTCTCACTAAACTTGCATGCTCCAAAACGGCCAGCCGGCGACGGTCTCGTTTTTGTTCTGACGAGGGGTAGCTGGGCGAGTAGATTGATTGATGTGCGTTGAGATGGATGGACGACTCGGCCTGACACTTATAATCTGTCATTCGACTGGAAATCGACTCTCCACCACACGCTCAAAGGTACCAACGCCAAATATTGCACAAACGCTCAGGCTAGAGAGTGACGAAACATTGCTGCTGCGTTTTGCGGGCGCAAAACGGGTAGGGCACGGGTAAGGTAAATCTATAGGCTTAGCAAGGCCATAAATGTCTTATGCAGAAGAGTTTTCAATGCAAAAGATAAGGGTCTTAAGTTATATGCATTTTTTTACAGTAGCCAGCTGAACCTAGGGTTACGGTAGCTGTAGGGTGTAGAAGAGACACTCGCAAAATCAAAAATTATGGCTAGATATGGATTGCCAGAGTAGATCTCTCTGCTTCCATTTTTTTTCGGAGTGAGTAAGTAAAGAAGGGCGGGGTGCGTAGAGGAGGGGAGGGGAGGGGAGGGGAAGAAAGTGAGGGTTTCTTGATATTTTTCTTCAGATTGCTGCAGAAATTCACCCGAATTGCGTTAAATGTAATTGAAAAGGTCCTCCGAAATTCTGCTTTATAGATAAAAATGTGCAAGTGACTTCTTTATACATACGAATAATTATTTTTTCTAAAATTTTTTGGAAATTAAAATTCTACAAAAAATTTTCTTACGAGTGTGGCTGCCGCTACTCCCCCTCCCCCTTTTCCAATATTTCGGGGCGCATACTGGAAAACATCTCAGGAAAACTTTCGAAGTGTCTCGCTAAACCACCTTATATCCGAAAATTTTTTTCGTTCCCCCCCCCGGAACGGAATTCTTGGGACCGCTACTGCTAGATCCCTATCATTTCGCAGATCATCAGTCCTTTGGCACAAGAAGTCAATAGAATGATTTTTTATCCTATAAAAATCGAATAAGCTTTCTAAAATTTTTTTCAAAAGCTTCCTCTCCCTATCTTTGCATATGCTTGCCTAAGAAGTTAACATAAACTGCATCGTTTTCGATTTAAAAAAAAAACTACCTTCTTAAAGGGAAGCTCGCGTCAAAAACACCCCTTCTTTCTCAACCCCCCCCCCCTACTTTTGGTTCGTCCCGGAAATAATAGAAATTCACGTCTGCAGTCCGTCTCCCAGTAATTTCGTGATGTTCAGAACATTCAATCTGTACCGTATAGCTACCGTAATCCCAAGTCATCCGGCTACTACAAAGATGCATATGCTATGCGTAAAAATAAACGCTATATGACCCATCCGTACAAAAATTGTCCGCTTACGTTCTCCAGTAATTTTCTGCTGACTCACCACTCCGTTATAATGTTTAATTTGCGGAAGAACTTCAAATATTTCATTTACAAAATTTTCAATTTCCTGCAGAATGTGCTCGTGATTGAAGTGATCACTGAAGTCCATAAAAAGTGAAATTTTGTAGAAAACCGTTAGCGGTCCCAGCGCACCAACTATCGTGCAGAACTTTTCCAACAAACATTTTCGTCTCTTGCAGTAACGTTCTTCAATTTGACAAACATTTATCTTGCTCTACTGGCTACCATTCATCTTGGCTAAGAACTGCTAATGAGCAGTCGAAACGTAACGAGAAACACATCAACATCGTAAACGTAGGATCTCTCCTCGTCAAGGTGACGTGAAATATTGTCCTTAAAAATAGCACGCAGAATTTAGCACGTTTTTGTCACCGCGGAAATTTCTGGAATTACACAAAAACCTAGTGCATTAGAATTTGATTTAATTATCTTGGCACAGAGTCAAATTAGACTTCCTTTTGCGCTAACTCGAGATCGATGCCTTAGATATCCAATCAAGTTTTAGCTAATTAGTCAAGAATTCGTCACTCATGTGCATTTGGACTCTTCATTCTTGATAGTTCAAAAAAGACACACGTTGGGAAGAAGTCAAATGATTACAAGAAAAATTCGTGGTTCCCTTCCAGTTAAGGTTGATTTTACGATTCGCTTTGAGGTAAAAATCTATTTCAAATCCCTTTTCCCTGCCTCCTTTCCTAGCTGCTAAAGATTTTGAGTTTTTCAAGCAATAAATAAATAATCAGTAAATAATCATAATCATAGTAAATAATCAGCGCTAGTATAAATGTACTCTGTAGTTTCTCAACCTAATGACTCATTTACAGAACAAATTATGTCCTTGACATTCGCATTTATTTTTTAATTCACGATAGAAATTTTTTTTGAAGAAAAAATTAGCATTTCGGTGTAGAGTGTGGGAAATTCAAGATCTTGTAACCTTTTTTATTGGAGGGCAGAGAATATGGTCGAAAGGATTAGGTTTCGCGTAAAAACGCTTGTATTTTCTAAAATAGTGCCATAGGAAATATAAGCTTTGACAAATAAATTGGCTAAATGTAGCTTTTCCCCACTTTTTTGACGACCACCTTCTATTAGGTTGTCAAGAAAATAATGTCGGTTTTTACTTGCTTGCTTTAACAAAGCAACCAGACTCAACCCAACAAAGGGTAAGGGGTACTGTTCGATAGAGCAAAGCAAGCTCTACAAGATGGCACTCATGCCTTTGCGCCATGCTCGATCCACGGAGAGTTCAAACTTAAAATCTAAAGATTTCCAAATGCCCAAAAAATCGAAAAAAATCAGATCTTCGTCCAAATAATTTCTACGGACCTCCCACTCGCTCACATCAATAATATCGATATCTGATATCCACATGTGCGATTGTCGTATTTTTTCCTTGATTAGAAACTGAGAAAACGAAAATTTCCCTGATTTTCTCAAAGCAATGCTGAGCCGTTTTTGCATATGTAGTTCTATACTACAAGCCTAGGTAAGTATAACTGTAGATTTTCAGCCCATTCCAAGCGGTAGTTTTCGAAAAATAACGAATTCGGATTTTTTCGTTTGAGTTTCAGTGCTAAAATCGACATTTCTCGAAAAGTACCGCTCGAAATAGGCTGAAAACCTACAGTTATGCTTACCTAGGCTTGTAGTATAAAACTACATATGCAGAAACGGCTCAGCATTGCTTTGAGAAAATCAGGGAAATTTTCGTTATCTCAATTTCTAGTCAAGGGAAAAATACGGCAATTGCACATATGGATATCAGATATCGATAGTATTGATGTGAGCGAGTGGGAGGTCCGTAGAAATTATTTGGACGAAGATCTGATTTTTTTTTCGATTTTTTGGGCATTTGGAAATCCTTAGATTTTGAGTTCGAGCTCTCCGTGGATCGAGCCTGGCGCAAAGCAAGAGTGCCATCTTGTAGAGCTTGCTTTGCTCTATCGAACAGTACCCCTTACCCTTTGTTGGGTTGAGTCTGGTTGCTTTGTTAAAGCAAACAAGTAAAAACCAACATTATTTTCTTGACAACCTAATAAAAATCAATAATTATACTTTAGACGTCAGTTCGCTATTCACATATCAAGTGCATATTACAATAGGCTCATTTCATTAGGAGACACCTTTTTTCCCCTCCTCCTCCCACTAAGAGAATGGGGAAAATTCTGAAAGTAACCTATATCGACTTTGAAACTGTGCAAGTGACTTGTTTTTACTTGTAAATTGTCTCAAAATTTTTTCGTAGAGTGTGCTTGAAGCCACGCCCCTTTATTCGAAAATTTTTTTCATCAATTCACTATCTCGAAAATTTCCTGGAGGATGACTCGGGTCCACATAGTCGAGTTTCAGTGCCATAATGAACCTTTTTTAAAACTATTAGGGTGATCCAAAAGTAATGGGGCAGCTAGAGAATAAATGCAGTTTTCTCAAATAGAAAAGCTAATTGGAAGTCCAAGTTTTGGCAGATGTTAGTACATAACAAAACCTTCTGATCGAGGTCTATTGTTGGGCACTGTCACGTGGCGTTATTTTTATATGCGCTTAAAATTAAAGCTCACGACTTCAAGTAATTTTGAACTTTGAGCAGTAGCGCCGCAGTAAAACAAGTGAGCCTACCAAAAATATGTGCGCAGTAATGGGTAAAGGGACTGTCACCAAATCCACAAAGCTTGGTGGTCCCAAGGCTTTAGAACAGAAGACATAGCATTTAGTATCAGGAGACATATTACTTATTCTTTCATCAAGATAATCAAATAAGCCCAAACTTAGCAGTTGCTTTCTGGTAGTGCTTTTTACGCTCTATCCATGCATATGCAAATTACTTCGACTTTTCTCATTTTCAAAAGATTGTGGTCCAAAACATGAATTTTAGTCTGAAAATCTGCGCCAAACACCGCGCTTTTTCGAACAAAGTGCCTTTTTTTGTATAAAATAATGGGCAATTTTTGAATATTCAAGTAATCATTAAAAAGAGCTTGGAAAGCTCTTTCGAATGGTATGCCATATGTCGAGGGACTATCAGATGCAGCAGCCCAAATTCGGATGGCGTTTAAAAAAGTCTGTTTGACTTCTTTGAAGCGCCACTCGAAGAAATGTCGGAGAGGTGCTGCAAGGTGCTGTCAAGATAACCTGCGAAGGTCACTTTATACAAAGGCGTTAAAAATCCTGGGCATTTATAGCTAATCAGAAAGAAATCTTGAAGAATGTAAAAAAAATCAAGGTGCCCCATTATTTTTGGATCACCCTAATAGTTTAAATATCTTGTCGATTTTGTGTTCAGAGAGAGAGAGAGAAGGGCGGGGAAGGGGAGTGAAAAGGCATTGATTTCAACATATTCGATTACGCTTGATTTAAAGGTCTACTGACACTGCTGAGCGCTTGGATTTTTTACACTTTAGGCGGAGGGGGGGGGGGGGGTGTAGAGAGCAACAATGCCTTTTTGACGATATTTACCATATAATAGCCACATCTGCTCGCGATCTCTTCATCTGGCGTGACTGGGTAACTGGTGCGCTTTTCGATTCTCCCGGGCGCTGTCGCCAGTTATCGGCCGCGGGACTCACGGGCGTTTGATGAGCGGTTGAATCGACGAGATTGATGGACATGACCTGACAAGTCGAGACGCGGATTCCGCTTGAAGACGATCTTGCGCGCGTCGGCACATACAAGTATAATCTCCGCGGCTAAGACGATCCAGGTCACATGCTAGAACATCAATAGTCGTAAAAATCCGGCGAATTGTCGTCGGAGAGGGAGCCGCTGACAGGCAAACGGGATAAGCGCTATTTTTGCGCGATTTTATTGCTGCGGTGTGACTTTTTTGTGGGGAAAATCATGGAATCACGGAATTTGCAGGAAATCCGCACATTGCAATAATCTTAGTAGTTTTCTTTTACTAGATGCTTACGAAACACTCGGAATTTCATGCTGAACGGGTTTTCGTAGCGCAATCAATCATTACCATCAACGACTATCCTCGTTTCTGCGCCACTATAGCTAGCTAATGTTTTTTCCGTCTTCGATAGTCGCACAGGAACTAAGATCGTAAGAAAGCGTTCTATTTCAAACCAAGAGCATAACATAAATGCAGTACAATTTCAACAAAAAAGAAGAGAAAATTTCGTTTTTTTGTCAGACCTTTTTTCTGAAAAAAGACCAATAGATTTATACGACGAGAACTTTTCTTGTTAGTATTTGCACTGTGGTGAATTTTCGGACAGGAAAATTTTCATTTCTCAAAATTTGGAAGTACAATTCCCCTTCCATTTTCGATATTTAGCACACATTTCGGATCAAGAAAATGTTGACTGAATATGGCTTGGGAAGAATAAAAGAAGAAAAGTTGCTTTTTACATCAATCCAAATTGAAATATTTGAACGAAAACAATGAAATAAAAAGCGCACCAATTATCGTAATCTATTAGGTTGTCAAGAAAATAATGTCGGTTTTTACTTGCTTGCTTTAACAAAGCAACCAGACTCAACCCAACAAAGGATAAGGGGTACTGTTCGATAGAGAAAAGCAAGCTCTACAAGGTGGCACTCATGGCACTCATGGCACTCATGCCTTTGCGCCATGCTCGATCCACGGAGAGTTCGAACTCAAAATCTAAAGATTTCCAAATGCCCAAAAAATCGAAAAAAATCAGATCTTCGTCCAAATAATTTCTACGGGCCTCCCACTCGCTCACATCAATACTATCGATATGTGATACCCATATGCGCAGTTGCTGACTTTTTCCTTGACTGAGAAAACTGAACTGAACTGAGAAAACGAACACTTTCGTGTTTTTCTAAAAGCAATGCTGAGCCGTTCTTGCATATGTGATTCTATACTACAAGCCTAGGTAAGCATAACTGTAGGTTTTCAGCCTATTTCGAGCGGTACTTTTAGAGAAATGTCGATTTTAGCACTGAAACTGAAACGAAAGAATCCGAATTCGTTATTTTTCGAAAACTACCGCTTGGAATGGGCCGAAAATCTACAGTTATACTTACCTAGGCTTGTAGTATAGAACTACATATGCAAAAACGGCTCAGCATTGCTTTGAGAAAATCAGGGAAATTTTCGTTTTCTCAGTTTCTAATCAAGGAAAAAATACGACAATCGCACATGTGGATATCAGATATCGATAGTATTGATGTGAGCGAGTGAGAGGTCCGTAGAAATTATTTGGACGAAGATCTGATTTTTTTCGATTTTTTGGGCATTTGGAAATCTTTAGATTTTGAGTTCGAACTCTCCGTGGATCGAGCATGGCGCAAAGGCATGAGTGCCATGAGTGCCATGAGTGCCACCTTGTAGAGCTTGCTTTTCTCTATCGAACAGTACCCCTTACCCTTTGTTGGGTTGAGTCTGGTTGCTTTGTTAAAGCAAGCAACTAAAAACCGACATTATTTTCTTGACAACCTAATAGAGCAAACTTCAAAAATTTTTGGGACACGATTACCTTGGCTGAATCACTTTAAAATCGTTAATACGCTCCATCGCAGAACCACACCTCCACCCCAACCGTGAATGTTATTGTCCTTGTGAAGCCGGAAAAATTTTTGTGTTTTATTTGTTTTTTTTTTGTAGATAAATTTGATTTTTTCAAACAAAAAATTGTTACTAACATAATAAAATCTTAACATACAAATAGATCCACTCAAAATGTTCTGAATCAAGAGAATCTGTTATTGCAATTGTTAAAACCCGTTTTTTTGTAATTTTGATTTTATGCTTAGGTATTTTTGCTATTGTTTTTTAATTGCAGGAGGACAGCCGGTTCGTTCATCTGCGAGCACATTTAGTAATGGATTGGGAGCGTTGTTTCAGTTTGTTGGAAAAATGCAAGGTGAATATCTTAATGGTAAGAATGAATAATCACTTATGCTTGATCAATAAATCGATAATTTCTTATCACTCTTGAGACTACACAAAAATTAGAAGATAATGACAAGAGATGTGATATTTTCAGCCCAACAGCGGAAAGAAAACGATGTGGATTCAATTTTGAAGTGCCTCCAATGTGGGAAAAATTTCCAAACTATGGAAATGTTGATTAGACATATGCAAGACACACAACACTTCAATAATCTTCCAAAAACATACAGGTACAATTTTTTTATTGATTTTATTCTGCTGCAAAATAATATAATCATAGTGACAAGAGCCAGAACAGTCTATTTTTGTAAAAAACGTTGAATCTCATAATGCTAGCGATTCCAAGAAAATTGATATAAGACTATGAGAATTCGAAGTGACAGTTCGTAGAGTTTGCGAGCAAATCGTCTTCTTATATATCTCGCCTTCTTACAAAATTCGCTCTTTTGAATTCCTTCGAGAAAAATAATAAGTGAGCAATATGAATGTCTTTGACCAACCAAACCACTGAAAATCCATCACTGTCCAGTTTTTTGAAAAAGATTTTGGGCAATACATATTCGTATTGAAAGCACTTATCCTCGATGATGAGTCATCAAAGTTCTGGTCCTCTAAATTTTTTTTAGCACATCACTTCATCCATTTTCGTTATGTTACGTAACAGATGACGATAGACCGCATTACACTACTGCACCCAAACTGGCTAAGATGGCAATATTTTGCAGAAAAATCCTATAAAGAAGTTTGTTTGTGTTGCGGACAGGGCAGCATACTAACGTAAACAACTGGCCTCCCCCTTGCTTGCCCAAAATGGCCAAAAACTTGCTCAATCCCAAAAAAATCTAAATTCAAAGTGCTAAACTTGAAAGAATTAATTAAAAATTAGGGAACGTACAAGGAAAAACTTTCCAACCTCTATTACTGGAAGAGTTGTGAGATGGCAAATCGCTCTAGGACGTTGGGAAGATAAAAGGAACATTATGAAGCTTTTTTTCAAGAAGGATTATGCCATAAGGCGGATACTAATTGTACGAAACTTTCTGGCTTATTTTTGCAGTCAGAGATCAACCATCCTTGAAGCTTCATGTGCCTTTAAATTTTCTTACCAGAGTGGTAAGTGAAAAAATGGAAAAAAAATTCCTGCACAATTACTTAAAATTGAGTGCACAGTTCCTCCTAAAAGATGATTATACACTGCCGCAGGACGAAGGCACAATTTTTTTGGGCGCGAACGCGACTTTATTAGGTGCAGAGCGCGAGGCGCAGATTTACAACTGTGGGCGTGCTCGTTCGCGCCCGCTCAACTGACTGCTTCTGCGCCTTCGTCATGCAGTAGCCTCTAGAATGTTCTGTTACCCATAGAAGAGGGAGCGGAGGGGGAGGGGGGTGGGAGGGGGGGGGAGAATGTGAGTGTCAGAAACTTTTGCACAAAAATATGGCACAAAAAACTTACAAAGATTGAAAAATTATCAAGAGTGAGATAAATATGGAACTTTCTGGATCTACTCAGACAAATGACCGGAACTTCCGCAGAGCGCTTGCGGAAGTTCCGCCGGGTCACCTGCGGAAGATCCGAAATGAGGTCCTGCGGTTTCCGAAAAATGCCTACCACAACAGCAAAAGAGAACACCGAAGCGAGATTTGAAATTCCCTCTATTGACTGTGAGACCCAGGGCCCGGCAGGAGGTGGCATTTCAGAATTTTGAAAACGGTATCCCTTTTGAAGCCAAGATTTCTTACGACTTCCCCTTTGACCCTATTTTTGTCCCCGTAAGTCCCTGACAAACAGATATACACAAATAATAAGATGGGCGGCCTCAGCGCTTATTATAGTAGTACTACCTGGCTTTCCTGGTCCAGCCCGGGTCATTGTTTGAGGGGATGGCCAAAAACCACACTTTGTCCTTCTACCTTCCCGTCCTTTTGGGCCATATTCTCCACCCTTTTCTGCAGTATCAATACTGCACTGCAGCCCTCCCCCTTATCCTCCTGCACGAGCTCACCTCAGAAAGGCTTATTGGAGTGACTGCACCTTCTAATTTTAAAGTGGAAATAAACTTCACTGCATTGTTCACACCAAAATGTGCAAGCAATTTGTTAGCGGTTGGTAAGTGTTCACTTTCTTTGCGAGGTGCCAAAAATCATTGAATCGGTAGAAGAAATCCACGAATTGCTTCGAAGGATAGCTTACAACCATCTACCGAGGCCGAAAACATATGGTTCAAGGTTTCAGCTCAATGGGTTCATCCGCAAAGGAATCTACGAAAAAACATGGGGTCAAGATTTGCACAAACTTTGATCTTCATATATCTAAGATACTACAGATTTATCGGTCAGCTGCGAAACTTTTCAATTTACAATAACCGATTGCGACTGGAGCTTTCCGTGGCCGATCATAACGCTGCTGCATTTGGGGCTGTATCGAAGCGGTGCCTTGGTGGTTTTGGAAGCGGATTTGAACATATAGTAATACTCTCGACCTAGTCCACATTTATGTAAAGAAATCCGGGAAATTATTGAAGGGAAGCAGGGAGCCACCCCAGGTGGCTCTCAGGTGGCGCGGGAGCCACCTAATTTCGAAAAACACTTACCATTTTTCAAATTCACATACGTTTCTCATAATTCTTCACACTTTTTTTGTGCTCATGGTCCTCCAACTATACAGCAAATTTGGTGCCATATCGTTACTTGTGTATTGAAAACGAGCCTATTTTGTTATTTTCCTCCCCGCCTGTGGGCAGGCTAGCGATCAGAGCACAGAATCTTCACATTGCTGGAATCTAAGTTCATAGGACAGTAGCATCAACAAGGAATGATGAATAAAGAATGATATATGCATAATTTATCGGTAAACAAAGGGGAGTCGTATTTTGGGATCCGGGTCTCCGCCCTGGACCCCAAAATACGACTTCCCCTTTGCTTTTTCGGGTCAAAAACGATATCCAGCTTGTGAAAGCGCCACCCCCCGCCGGGCCCTGGACCCACCTATCATCCTCTACGCTACGGCTGACATGTTCGATAATGTACTCTAGTTGTTGGCGAGGCAACATCACGAGACAACGCATTCAATGTCCTGCGGAAGTTCTGGCAGGCCAAAGTGCTGCGGAACCTCTGGCAATTTTCGGAATTTCCGCAGAATTTTGAAGAAGGTTCTGCGAAAGTTCCGGTTTTCAACCAATTTGGAAAATCCCGCGGAAGTTCCGATTTTCAGCGTTTTCATTTTGCAATAGTGAATAAAATCCTGCGGAACTTCTGCAAATTTGGCTTGTCCTGCGGAAGTTCCGGTGATTTGTCTTACTAATGTTGTCCTTCCTCGAATACTTCAGCTCTTCTTTTCTCAAAAGGCGAGGTTCCCTTGCCGAGAACCTGATCTCAACCCAAACCAAGTAAGCCAAATTTACCAGCGCTAGTATGATCAATCCGACCCGGTCTGCGAACTCCTCAAGAACCCTGGGAGTGTAGGAGAGCTTGCGGGGACCTAAAGGCCGGATCTCGCGAACTTTCCAGATCTCTAAACGATGTACATCGTTTAGAGGGGCGATCAAACGGGGATCGCCTCATTGTAAATTTTGGAAATGTAAAAATTGTTTTCGAACGGCGTCTCACATTACATTTTCCATCGAGTAGAAGTTTTATTTTAAAGACTTCCAACGTATCATAATATTCTTTGCTTTTTATTTTCAGCCTGCTCATATTTGAAGTCACTTTGGTGAATTGCTAAAAAAATTTTTTTCAGCTCACTTATCCAAATGGAGCGCCAAAAAGTTCTGAATCTGAAACTCCAGATGAAATCTGAAAGCATGAAATTAGCGTGTGTCAAATGCGGAGAGGTATGGTACAATTTGACAATTCTATTTGACACAACCTCTATGTATGTGAACACTTGCAGATTCCGGCGAATATTGACAAACACTTGAAAGAGGTTCACGACGTGAAAACGAGCTCTGATTGGCTACGAAACATTAGAATTATCCGAGAAGGGGGTGAGCGGAACTTGATTTCTGATTTTCTTTTGATTTGTAAAATTTTAAAATTTCTCTCATAAACAATGGATAAAACTTACTAAACAGGAATTACTTGTCCAAACATCACATAATCTATAACTTTTGCAGAAAATTCGATGTCGTCACTATCAAGTGCGCCTCAAACAGCCGCCAATTCTCCTCATCTCAACAAATTGATGTCTTTAATTAATACGGTTGATAAAAAATGATTTTACTGTTATGATAATGTTCCATTTGTATCTTGATAAGGCGAAGGGTGAATAGGAGAAAAAGAAAAGATGTTATGTACGACATTTTCCCGCAGAACGGAAAAGCATTGAAGGCAAAGTTCCGGCAAAAAGATGAGTGCCGGGTTTTTGTTGGCGATGTTAGAGTAGACCCCCCACCCTAAGCGATGACTGAAGTTTGGAAAGAGGGGGTCTACCAAGCCTGAAATTTGCTCTGAGAGTGTCCCAAATCTTACGGTAGGTCCGGACGCCGCCCACACAGCAATATCGATGCAAGGCCAGAGTGCGTATAGCGCACACACTCATGAGCGCGGTCCCGCAACGACTCTGCGTCTCTACCTTGCGTGCATCTCGCACTCGCCCGAGCCTACCGTAAGATTTGGGCCAACTTGAGGTGCGATTTGCAGACTTCGTAGACCCCCTTTCGCGCTCAAACTTCTGTCGTCGCTTAGATAGGGGGTCTACTATTACACTACTACCAAAGCCAGGTACCCCCAGTCTGGTGGGACGTTGCCTTGAAGGAGTCCTAGAGTGTCTTCATTCATTCGAGCTTTGCCTAGATTTGAAGGCAGTGTGCCTTCAGATTGTCAGTTTTGATTTTTTTGCGGTTTCTGGAGCTTCTCACTGCGTTACCCTATACAGCAAAAGAGGTATGGTTCATTTTTGAAATCGTGACGACGAGTTTGACTGCGGTCTTTGCGCACACAGGAGCTAAAACACCCATACAAATAGGCATAACCTCACTGCTCAGCTCAGTCACTTTCAGTGTCTGAATACTGTCACAAAGCAGGAAAACCATTTGAGTAGAGATAGAAAACAAGAAATGGGAGTGCGTGCGTGTCGCGCGCGGTCGCGCCATCGTCACGATTTTTCGAATGACCTATACCAAAGTAGGAATTTTTGCACCTTCCAAAAAGCTTAGACCGAATTCAAACGGAGAGCACAACAATCTTGCCACGAAAGCCTTGCATACAGCAACCTTTGCATTAAAAACTACGGATAATTACGCAGTGGGCGAGCTGTGGTGGTGGTTCTGCGCGGAGTAGCTGAGTGACGTCGTCCGATGCATAAAATGAGGTCCGCGCTTGATTCGGATCATGTCCTCTGCGCGAGCAGGGTAAGCAGTCTTATGGGGGCGGGTGGAAGTCCGCATGTAATCTTTTATATCACTGTAGTCAAATTTGGAAAACTTGATTCTGTCCAGTTAAGATCGACTGGAATCGCAGTGATTTGAAAACACACTCTGAGTAATGGAAAAGCCGGGGGAGAAGATCGCGTGGTCGGACCTACGACGTGACTTTCCGTCTCAGCAAGGACAACGAGTCCATAGGTCGTTCATAGAATCGTGACGACGGATTTGACTGCGGTCTTTGCGCCACAGGAACAGAAAACATACAAAAAGTCACCACTTCAACTCTCAGTTCAGTCACTTCCATTGTCTAAACACTGTCATATATAAGAAGGAAAACCATTCGAGTACAGATGAAGACAAGGAGATTGCCGGGAGTGCGTGGTCGCGCCATCGTCACGATTTTTCGAATGCCCTATATCTCTATGACCTTGATGGTCCTGCTTTCAGTCGTTCACTATATGATGAGCTTTAAAGAGGCCTCTCAGCTATGTTGGCGTCCATGGCTTAGGGAATGGCAAAAACGAAATCCAGTCAAATCAGTGCGTTCGAACTCAGACTTACCCTGCCAGGGACGTGCTAAAACTTCGGTAGATCAGAAGGGTGTACATAGGTTCTGGCACTTTCCTGGTACGGCGCTGGCACAGCACCGGCACACAAGCGATTTCTCTGGGCATGCCTAACAAAGCAACGGTTCTCTAGTATGTCTTTTGTCTTCACTATTTGGTGGTAACTTCAGGATGAACCGGCAAGAGTATAAAGAACATATGTGACTGACTGCAAGCCTGAGAACTGTGCCTACTCATTATGACAGAATGCTCAGGCAAATTTGAACACTTGACTTTCCTGTGTGAATAGTGAGCAAGTCATTTTTATTTGTATATTTGTTTATTTATTTATTTAATACGCTCGCGCGCCACTATAAACACCAACATAACAACATCAATGAAGTTAGTATGACATCATAGAGATAAAAAAGTAGATGTTCTTGAGACCGTTCGTAACGGAGAGTACTAACTCTAAATTCTGCTCAGTGCCGTACTCTTGCCGATGATAAGCATCTGCTGGCCACAACAATCAGGCGTAAGCATTTTTGTTTTCTAAACGCGAAGAAGTTCGACATTTTTTGTTATTGTGTGAAGAAATTACAGGACCAGTTCAGAATACACATCTTCAATTCAGTAGACACAAAAACAAAGAAAATGCGGATGGAGGAAGCGCGCGTGTCGCCCGTGGTCACGCCATGGTCACGATTTTTCGGATGCCAAGTATTATATATATGACTTGGTGCTTGAGGAAAGATGCCGTTGTTTGGCTCACTCTTGAGTTATTAGATAGTGAAGAATCATTAACAAAGTCGCGCAGGGGGGGGGGGAAGGGGAGGCGGGGGCTAATGATATGAGATCAATCACACATGTCAACTAGTTATCAACCGTTTGAACAGACTTCTAATGTTCCTAAATTTTTAGATCTTTGAGTATTTGTGTCGCGGATTGGGCCCCCAGCTCCCAACGTCAGTGGTGTTACGGCTCTCCTGCATCGGCGAGGGGAGCCAGGGGTCCGCTCCGTAGAAAGAGTGAAACGTATCATGTGTGGTGGCTACCTGTGAAATGCTACTTGTGCCTGCCACATGGGTACTCCATACACACTTAGAGGCCCTTGCCATCAGCCTGCTTAGCAGTTACTCGGCACTTGCGAACCCCAACTGCCGATAGTTTCACCATCGGCAGTTGGGGCGCGTGCACATAACCAAGGCACTGCCCGGAGTCGTGCCAGCCTTGTAACAGATCTATCCCATTAGGCATGATTATAAAGTACACAATAATAACGATGACATGAGATATTCCCGGAGCCACAGCCGAGCTGTGGCTCACCTCACGAAACAAATCACACGTGTAAAATGCCCACCATTTATCCACAACAATTCCCTAAACTCAAACACAAGGGGTGTGTACAACCAGCCAGATGTTATCCTAGGGGCCGACAATATCGGAAACCCCCCCGTGGCGGTGTCGCACGGGGTTACCTCGTCTGCGTGGTTGCCTGTCCTCCGTGGCGTAGATATACGCTGCATCGATCGCCACGTGGGATGACGAAACTGGGACCCAACCGCTCACCAGGCAACGAAATAGACGACAGATTTGAAAGCTGCGGCGGTAGCGATGGGAAGGCGGGAGCAGCGCGAGGACAGCATTTCGGGACCCCTTCGCAGCGCAGCTGCGGTCTCCTTTATGGGAAGTCGCGAATCCGAGACAATTTGTATTTTACTTGAGTGTTGGATTTCATAATTCCAAAAAAGGCGCAGGTGATCAAGTTCTTTTTGTAATCTAATTTTATAGGCTGTGTCACAAGTTGACTGAATCTACACCTGAATTCTGTGCACTGTGTGCAAGTTCGAGATATTCTAAGTATTTCTGTGTATACGATTGCTATCTTCTGTCTGTAACTGATATGTGAACTACCATGACCAAATTTACAAACGTGAAAATCGATAAAATCAGTATATTTGTCGAGACAAGACAAGAAGCCCTGTTCGCATAAAGGGAGTGTGATCCATTGGATTGGATCGCAGTTCCTACTCAAGCTACAGGAACGCTTCCATTCGGTCCACCGCATTACTTCTGCGAACACATGCTGCATTTTTCTGACCCAGTATCAACATCCATCAACATATATATTGACCCGATCTCTTCGTAATGCTTTTATGGTGTCTTAGTATACATAGATTGATCAAAATTTGCTTTATATATTATATTTTCGTTATGTTCAATTATCTCCTCTACGTAATTTAGGCGGATCTTCAAAGCACATTACTGTTGTATATCCTTTTCATTATCATTGCCATCGAGGTGACTCTTCTTCCCGTATAAGAAACAAAAGCAAAGAGCAGTCTCTGCTTTGTCCACGTCTAACAACTAAAATCAAGTGCGGCTCAAAGAATAGGAGTGAAGATATCTGTGTATAGGTGTACATATAAATACAAGCTCGGACTAAACTCTCACATAGAACTTTTCCAACACTTTATCAAGAGGAGTCGAACCAAACCAACTAACAAAATCATGCTCTTCTGTACATAACAAACGAATTAGTTTTCCCTACATACATTTGAGCATTGAGGTGACAAAGACGTAAGCTGACATAAGGAGGAGATTCTTCTTTTTTGGAGTGCAGGCGGCTGAGTTGAGAAAACTGTCCAAGTCTATTGGGCTCTATAGAAAGATGATAAGAAACATAACTATGATCGGAAAAAGCAAGATGTAGAATGTAGCAAAATGAAGCAAATTTATGGCTTCCTTGTAAGATCGATCATCGCCTGATAATTCTTTTTAGAATTTTCTCAGAAGCGGCAGTGATCGGCATACGAATGGTTTTCAAAATATCCATAAAATTCTTGTTTGAGATTCAATTGATACTATGAGGTGAGCCGTACTTCTAGCCATCAACAATTCATGGGCCTTTTCAATCACTTCCCACTTACCAGGAGGCTAAAGTTCAAGCTTATCATCCGCAAATAGCCAGCTTCAAAGGCAGCGGTTCGGCAGAATAATGATTTATTGGATATTCATCGTTCTCGACTCCCTTGGATGAGCTGAGTCTGTAACTGTGCTTTGCAGATTTATATCAATGACTCGCTTTCCCGACATGGAAAAATACTGTTTGGGTGGGTTGCAAAAGTGGCTGCTGGAGCAATAATCCAGTTGCCGCCGAGATGGGTACGGTATCTCCACTCACGAGCCAATCGCGCTCTAGACGACAGGCTTACACCATCCGCCCAAATAGCTTTTTTCTGGTCTGAAAAAGCGGGTTATTGATATCTTTTGAAGCTGCAAAGCACAGTTTTGAACCTAGCTCA